CACAATCTTGGCTCACTGCAGCGTCTGCCTCCTGAGCTCAAGCAGCTCTCCTGTCTCTGCCTCCCAAGTAGCTGAGGTTACAGGTGGATGCCACCATGACTGTTTTTTTGTATTTTCAGTAGAGATGGGATTTCACCATCTTGGCCAAGCTGGTCTCAGACTCTTGACCTCAGGTGATCCATCCACCTCGGCCTCCCAAAATGTTGGGGTTTACAGGCATGAACCACCGCATCTGGCCAGATACTTTATTTAAAACATTAGAGAGGTAAAGATCAGGAGATACAGGCCTCTTAAAAGAGGATTTCTCATAGAATTTAAGTAGTGCTCAAAAGTATTTTAGGCCTTTTTTCTGGTATACATGTAAATTTTCAGTCAGACATTTATTGCATAAACTAAGGAACAATTGAACTAGCTGATAATTTTGTTAGCATTTAGAACTCTCATATGTTTTTGTACACCATACTTTTGATGGCAAGTAACATTGTTTTTGTCTAGATTGGAGAAAGTTTGAATATTGGTGTTGTACAAACTGCATACGCAAATGGAAGTTCAACACGGTATCTTGAAGAAGTTATGAAGGTATTGAACCGTTTTTGTTTTCTGATAGTTTCTTAACATTGTAAGATGTTTCTGTGAGGAAGATACTGCCCTCATAAAAGTGGTTATGTTGTAGTGCCTGAAGCTGAGCTGCTGTTCATGTAAGGGTAAAGAGAAATAAAAAATAAAAGATTTAGTTGTCCTTGACGAAAAAAGGAAGACTTCCTTCCTTCCTTTTCTTGGGAGTTTTCCTTTACAAAACTGGTGAATTATTTCTCTGCCCCTTTGTAATGAATATAAATCTTTTTAAAGGCCTAATAAGCCAGTTTTATAGCTCAGGAATACTTTTTTTTAAGGGCTGAGAATCACCAATTTCAAGTATAAACATCAAGGAAGATAGCTCCCCTGTCTCCCTGTCTCATGAGAGTTTAAACTTAGGTGTCTGGCTCCAATTTGTAACTATCTGCCTGTCACAGAGGTACGAAAAGTTTTATTCCTCCCTCAGAGAGAGGCAGTTAACACAGGTGGTTGTCCCTATTTCCAGGTAAGTGTAGGATAAGCCATGTGTGTGACAAATGGTGGTGTCAGGTTTTCCTATTTGAGGGCTAGTGTTAAAAAATAATTCATGACATTTGTTAAAATGGTGAGGCATACTTGATTCAGGACTATGTGATAGGTACAGGGACTAATGTGATGGAGTTTTACAGTGGTAGGAGAGAGATTGGGGTCAACTCCAAATGAAGTAAGGAGAAGTGGGGTTTTATAGCCAGGGAGCAGGGTGTTGTGTGGCGTGGGGTATTGGTCAGTGTGTGAAAAATTGCTGAGATGAAACGAGGGTAAGTGGGTGGTATTTTGGCTAAACCGACCTAACAGGACTTTTGCTAAAGGTAGGCCAAGATGGTCGGTCACATATTACCTGGGGGACGGTGGAGAATGAGAACTCAGATCAGATGTCAAGACTGGTCATACATTAGGATGAGGGATTCTGGCTAAGCTCACTTACCATGACTCTTACTAAAATCAGACTATTGGAAGACATGAGGACAAGGCCTAATCAGGCTCACCTAAGCCTGACTAAAGTTTGGTCAAGGAGAGAATTTTTGTCATTAGTCATCTTTTATCTTAGAAAATTGGACTGGAATGTATCTGCTTGGCTGTATTAAAAGGTGAGTGTTTATCTTTGCTATCTCTTGGCAAATTCGCCTGTGATTGAACATCAGTTTGGCTTAATACTCAGTAATAGAACTGTTTCTTGCCTTTATGTTTTTTGGAGATTTTCCGGGGTGGTGGAAGATTCTAATTATTTCCGTGGTGTCCATCAGATGACCACCCTCGGGCACCACACTGCTTGTTCAGAGAGTTACCAGGGTTAACGGATAAAACTGGAAGCCCATTTGCCTTTACTCTTTTTCTCATTAACGAATATAACGTTTTTCCAACTTTTTTGTATTTTGGTTCAAGTTCTGGCATTTATACTTGCTCTAGTTACCTTTCCATTCTCTAGAAAGCAGGATTTGGACAGGAAAAGTAAATGAGGGCGGCAGGTGTTTAAAAACAGGGAAGTTGTGCTAGCTGATGTTAAATGTAGGCAGATTATTCAAGAGAAGCATGAAATCTGAATTTTCATGTGAATTTTCTACTTTTTTTTAAAAGAAACAGTGGCTGGACAAAAGGAAATAGATCTTGAGGCTGCTAGTTTGTGACCTGATTTTAATACATGGTTATAATAAACTCATTCAAGGGACTCCATCTGGGGCCTATTTGCCTCCCTTTCACAGGGATTAGGTTATTTCACAGCACTTGGGTTTAGTTTTTTCATTTTCTGTCTTAAAAATTTATTATAGATAAAACAACCTAGTTTAAGAAACTGTTCATTCTCAACTCAGTCTTCCAGGTGAAATATTTCAGCCCTTGCCATTCCTGAGGTCTCCTACATCCAATCTAATGCCAATCTTTCTTTTGCAGTTTTGCTCCTATCTTTTCTTAACCATTCTTAAAGCTCTCTCAGATCCATCCATCCATCCATGACTTTCCCTATTCACTGTGGCCGATCCAGCCACTATTTCTTACTGGGATTAGTACTAGAAGCCTCCTGATTCCATTTCTTAACCTTCTAATTGAACTTGCCACTATTTGTAAACAAAGTTTTATTATAGATCTATGTTCATTTGTTTTTATGTGTGTGGTCTGTGGCTCCTTTTGCACTATAATGGCAGAGTAATTGTGACAGAAACCATATGGCCTGCAAAGCCTAAAATATTTACTGTCTGGCCTGTTACAGAAAAAGCTTGCAGAACCCTACTCTAAGCTGTTCTCTACACTGTAGCTAAACTCAGCTTTTTGAAACAGTTAGGTCATGTCACACCCCCACTGTAATCTTTCGTGTCTTATAAGGAGACCCTCATCTCTCTCACCGTGCTTTACCCTTGGTTGCAAGCTTCTGGAGTACGTTCGCGCTTCTATTGTATACATACCATTTTGTGTTTTAATGCTTAATCATCTTCCTCAGTAGACTCGGCTCCAGTATGTTTTGTTTCCCCTTGTATCTCTGGGTACTAGGTATGCAAGAAACATTTGACATCTGAGTAATTGCTGTATTTCTTTAAATGCATGTGTTATAGGTACCTGTCTATTGCACTAAGACTGGTGTAAAACATTTGCACCACAAGGCTCAAGAGTTTGACATTGGAGTTTATTTTGAAGCAAACGGGCATGGCACTGTAAGTTCTCTTGATTACAGTTGACCTTAGCTGGCACTTTTTTTTATGATGAGACTTCCGTATCTGGGACATAATAGGTAATACCGTACTTTGTTGAAATAATTGGATGTGACAAAAAGATTCTGTTATCTTATATATTGATGTGTTATAAAACTGTGATTCTCTGTTAGATTATAATGATTCTTCTTTGAATGTGAAGAGATATACTAAGGTGTTTTGAATAGTTTAAAATTTGCAGTTCTTAATTTTCTTATAAGCATTTTGTCTGCATTTTCCAACTGGCCATAGGAGGGGAAAAGAAAAATTCAGTAGCTATGGTGAATTGCAAAGTGTTGGAAAGTTGATAATTAATAAAAAGAAGTGAAAATCAATTTAAGGTAACTAGTGATAGGCATATGAAATTTTTTAATGGCTTTCTTAGCAGACAGTATTTGAAAAACGTTTCAACTTATATAATGTAAAATTCACATTTTACATAAAATTATACTTTAAAGTGTATAGTTAAGTAGTTCTTAGTAGATTCATAATGTTCAGAATATTTTAAAAATGTTTTTATACTGACCTCATTTAACGAATGCACTTGAGGTGGCTTACATTTGAGTGTAAGCTAAATAATTTTCCTCAATTTAAAACTGGCTTTTGGAGGGCATAAATATAAAAAGGGGAAAAATAAGTTCCTACAAAATGCTATTAAGATATAACTTCAGTGATCTAGTAGAAGAAGTTGGTAAATTATTTTTTAAAAGGTAGACAGTAAATATTTTTGGATTTTTCAGGCCATAAGGTCTCTGATGCAGCTGCTCAACTCTGCTGATCTAGCTTAAATTAATGGGTGTGGTTGTGTTCCAGTAAAACTTTACAAAAATAAGTGACTAGCCTGTGCCTTATTTTATCAAGAAAAATGTATTTTATCAAGTAGTTGAGCATAGTATGCTAATCTTGCTTAGTTTTAGGCCTCTTGAAGGCAGTAAAAAAAAAAAGATGGGTGTTTCCAAATGAGATGAGACTCTTGAGAAGCATCTATATTATATATTGTAATAAGTATCCATGGCACTATTCGCCATATTTTGATAAATATTGTGAACTCTCTAATTTTGCCTAGCTCATACCTTTAAGTTTTAGAATAAAACTGTATTAGCTGCAGTGAATTATATCCTTCAAAGTAAAAAGAATACAGACAGGCTCTAAGTAACCTGGTTGCACAGAAATGATTTAGCTGGTTGAAGGGAAAACCTGAACTCATTGTGTGTGTTCACCTCTTGTCACGGTGGTATTTTCTTTGTAATCACGTTTAAATTTTTATTACCAGTTATATAATCCACAATAAAATTTTTTTCCCTGGTACTATCTTTGGGTTCTCATGTGATCTTACATTAATTTCATACATTTTAAGGCTCCCAGTATTTTTCCCCTCATTTTCTCCAGATTGACTAAGACGGAAAAGTGGGCTGGGTAGAATAATAGAACTTATGATTAGGACTTGGATAGTGTTTTGAGAATGATTTTGTATGCTTTTGCTGCAGGCATTGTTTAGTACAGCTGTTGAAATGAAGATAAAACAATCAGAACAACTGGAGGAAAAGAAAAGAAAAGCTGCTAAGATGCTTGAAAACATTATTGACTTGTTTAACCAGGTAAGAACTGATGGGGCAGGGGACTCTTGGTTACCTTTACATTATTCAGAAGATGGACAGAACAGAGTGTGGCTGCATACAAAATTAATGTGGAGACATCCTGGTGGCTTCCTTGCAATAGTGCTTATATTCAGTTGAGATTTATACTGAAATGGAATGACAGAACATTTTTAATATGCTTCCCTTCCCCTACATCTTATGATGGAAAAATAAGTATATTGGGTAGCTTCTACCTAGGATCACAGATCCAGCTACTGAGTGTATACATACATATTATTAATTTTTTTTAACCAAACCTCGAGGAAATTCAGTAAAAAATAACTGGCTGTCTCATTGACAAAGGACATATATGTGGGTTAGATAAATTGGGGTTGGAGTGTCGTTCGATACTCAGGATGGAGGAAAGTGATTCAGTCATGAGTGTCTTGCACACATTGGATACTTTATATACCTTATTGTGTAATCCTTGCAGTAACACTGGGAGAGGTGTTACTGTAATTCCCATTTTATAAGTGAAGAAACAAGGGCTGAGAGAGTTACTATAGGGTAAAAAATGAGGTCTGTCTTCAGTTATGTCTTTTACACCAAAGCTCATGTTTCTCCATTTTACCATGATGCTATCCATTGTTGTGGGGTAATATCTCAAAAGGGATTAATTATAAAGAAAAATGAATGATGGAATATTAGGCTGAGCCTTAGAGTTATCCAGTCTAACTTCATTTCATAGATAAGGAGTACTAAAGGCAAATTTCTCAAGAGCTACTTTCAGTATTCTTTGTATACCTTTCATTGTCTTCCATGGAGATTTTTACCTCATTATTCATATTCATCCGTCCACAAAAACACTTCAGTTAATCATGCTGCATGTGAGAAAGCACAGTATACAGGGTGAGTATCCTTCCAAAATGCTTGGGACTGGAAGTGTTTCAAATTCCAGATTCACTGGATTTTGGGATATCTGCATATATATAATGTGACATCTTGGGTATGGCACTCAAGTCTAAACACTAAATTCTTTGTTTCATATATATTACATAAGCTTAAAGGTGATTTCATAGAATACTGTACATTTTGTGCATAAAACATGTCTGCTGAACCATGAGAAAGCAAAGGTGTCACTCTCGGCCACCCATTGGACAATCTGTGGTGGTTTGGCATTAGCATCATTCCTGACTGAATTTTATATGCTATCAATAAACTTATTTTTTTTTAACACTTACTCACAAGTATTTAACAGTAAAAAATACGATACATATCTGGCATGCATGGAAAGGATATGTCATAGCTGAAGGAAGTTGAGAGGGTCGTCTTCTCTTGGGGATGCTGAATAAACTGTGGGCCTGCCATTATTATTATTATTATTATTTTTTTTTTTTGAGTTGGAGTCTTGCTCTGTTGCCCCGGCTGGAGTGCAGTGGCGCAGTCTTAGCTCACTGCAATCTCTGCCTCCCAGGCTGAAGCCAGTCTTCTGCTCAGCCTCCCGAGTAGCTGGGATTACAGGTGCCTATCACCACACCTGGCTAATTTTTTTTTTGTATTTTTAAGAGGTGGAGTTTTACCATTTTGGCCAGGCTGGTTTTGAACTGGAGTACATTTGTTTTTTATTAAGAGACAGGGTCTTACTATGTTGCCAGGCTGGAGTGCACTGGCTATTCACAGTCACTATCACAGCACACTGCAGTCTCAAACTCCTAGCTTCAAGTAATCATCCCATCTCAGCCTCTTGAGTAGCAGGGACTGTGGGTTTATGCCACCATACCTGGCAGTTGTGTACCTGCATTTTGACAGACCTGTCATAGGCGGCCAGGTGTGGAATTTTTCACTTGTGATGTTATTTTGGTGCTTAAAATGTTTCAGATTCATGATGTTCAACACGTACTGTGATTGATTGGTTTTCTAAGACAAAACAACAGTTTCCAAGATTTGCTTGTGTTAAGTGGTTTCTTTGTTTCTCCATTTTGCAGGCAGCTGGTGATGCGATTTCTGACATGCTGGTGATTGAGGCAATCTTGGCTCTGAAGGGCTTGACTGTACAACAGTGGGATGCTCTTTATACAGATCTTCCAAACAGACAACTTAAAGTTCAGGTGTGAGAGAAACAAACTGTAAAATAACTTCTCTGAATATTAGCTAAGTAAAACCTATTATCCCAATTCTTACTATATCTGGCTGACAAATGTTTCCTAAGTATACGTCATTCTATACATTAACACATAATACGTAGAAAATAAGGCCTTGTGATGGCTAACTGTATCCTCTTATAGCTTAAAAAAAATTTATAGAGTAAGTTCGTTTACTTAACCATTCTGTTGTGTGAGAAGTATTTGGTTTCTAACTTTATTACATAATACTATGAAAGACTGCATCACTTTTAAAAGAAGATTTTATTATGGAAAATTAAAAATAGATATACATGTAGAGAAACAAAACAGTGAACTTTTATGTACCCAGCTTCAACAGATTTCAGTTATTGCCCTATACATTCACCATACCCCCACCCAATATTCTTTTGTATATTTTATTTAGAGACAAGGTCTCATGATGTTGCCCAGGCTGATCTCAAACTCTTGAGCTCAAGTGATCCTTCTCCCTGGGCCTCCCAAAAGGCTAGGATTACCGGTGTGAGCCACTGTGCCTGGCCCCAACATTATTTTGAAGCAAAATTCAGATACCCTGTTATTTCAAGTGAAAGTACTTCCTCTGCATTATGTTTAGTTCACAGAGTACTTCCTGAGGGAGATAATTCAGATAAATTGCTAACTGATTTCTGTACATGTTTATGCCAGTTTATACAGCAACAGAATTTGTGAAAGCCAGAAATGGCTGTTGATTGTTCAGATTATTTTTGGCATAGTTAAGAGATTCCCATCAGTCTTATATAAGGGGCCACTTACCTTGTTTTTATGTGTGATAATGGTACTTAAGGTCATACTATATTTACTGGCCATTATCTTAGTGGTAACTCCAAGCGTCTGTGGAAATACTTTTTTGCTAAAGGTAATTCTTTATAGACTGAAGAAGAAGAGAAAAGTTGTACAGATGTTGAAATTAGTTACCCTGACCTTGGAGAAATCACTTATGAAGTTTTATTGTAATTTTATATTTAGTCTGATACTTTACTATCTCAGTGTTGTATTTTGTGGTACAATAAATTGAATTGTAGGTCTATTACTGTGAAAATATTTTGGTAGAATTTAACAGGTTAAGGTTCTGAAAAAAAGTGGAATCTAGTAACAAATATGAAATGCTTGCACTTAGGTTGCAGACAGAAGAGTTATTAGCACTACCAATGCTGAAAGACAAGCAGTTACACCCCCAGGATTACAGGAGACAATCAATGACCTGGTGAAGAAGTACAAGCTTTCCCGAGCTTTTGTCCGGCCTTCTGGTACAGAAGATGTCGTCCGAGTATATGCAGAAGCAGACTCACAAGTAAGCTAGGATAGTTCTATTGAAAAAGAGCCTAATATTAGGTGATGGGGAGGCAAACTATTTTAATAGTGTTTAGAATCTCCCTGTGATGATTAAGGCTTTACTTTGTTGAGCCTTTTAGGTTCACATTAAGACTACAAAATTATTTTCAGTAAATATATAGTTGAACAAAATTAGACCCACTTAGTTTATTTCCCCAAATATTTTTGACTTATTCTAGTCTTCCTGAAAGTGTCATATTTTTAACTGGCAGGAATAACAGTTGCTTTATAAGGTAGGTAGATGATCCTTTTCTCTTCTTTTAAAAATATAATCTTGTGATGTTATGAAAACAGCCAACTTTGTAGTTCATTTTTAAGTCAACTGATAGCATTCTGGATTCTTGATTTGTTTTACAAAATATTTCCTTTAAAAATGAACACCCTAACTCTGTGCCACTGTTTTCCTGATAGGGGTCAAGACTTGTCATCTGGGTTTTTATTACTTGCCCACTTCACATACTCTTTAAAGTGTCTGCAAAGCTAGGGCAGAGTACAGTAAGTGCACTGAATAGGGACTCAGAAGGAGACATTTCCAAGTAATTTATACATGACCAGGCAGCTTTTTTTTTTCACTTTTTATTTTATTTATTTATTTTACTTTAGGTGTATGCTATAGCCAGCATTTCTCCCCATGTTATCCCTCTCCACCCTCCCCTACCCCCCACAACTGCCCCCAGTGTGTGATGCTCCTCTCCCTGAGTCCACATTTTCTTATTGTTCAACACCCACCTGTGAGTGAGAACATGTGTTTGGCTTTCTGTTCTTGTGTCAGTTTGCTGAGAATGATGGCTTCCAGATTCATCCAAGTCCCTACAAAGGACACAAACTCATCGTTTTTTATGGCTGCACAGTATTCCATGGTGTATATGTACCACATTGTCTTTGTCCAGTCTATCATTGATGGGCATTTGGGTTGGTTCCAGGTCTTTGCTATTATACACAGGGCTGCAATGAACATACATGTGCATGTGTCTTTATAGTAGAACGATTTATAATCCTTTGGATATATACCCAGTAATGGGATTGCTGGGTCAAATGGAATTTCTATTTCTAGCTCCTTGCGAAATCGCCACACCGTCTTCTACAATGGTTGAACTAATTTGCACTCCTACCAACTGTGTAGGAGTGTTCCTATTTCTCCACATCCTCTCCAGCATCTGTTGTCTCCAGATTTTGTAATGATCACCATTCTAACTGGCATGAGATTGTATCTCAATGTGGTTTTGATTTGCATTTCTCTAATAATCAGTGATGATGTGCATTTTTTCATATGTTTGTTGGCCTCATATATGTCTTCTTTTGAAAAGTGTCTGGTCATATCCTTTGCACACTTTTGAATGGGTTTTTTTTCTTGTAAATCTGCTTTAGTTCTTTGTAGATTACAAAAATTTTTTCCCATTCTGTTGGTTGCCAGTTCACTGTAATCATGGTTTCTTTTGCTGTACAGAAGCTCTGAATTTTAGTTAGATCCTATTTGTCTGTCTTGGCTTGTTGCCATTGCTTTTGGTATTTTAGTCATTAAGTCCTTGCCTATGCCTATGTCCTGAATGGTTTTGCCTAAATTTTCTTCTAGTGTTTTTCTGGTGTTAGGTCTTATGTTTAAGTCTTTAATCCATCTGGAGTTAATTTTAGTGTAAGGTGTCAGGAAGGGGTCCAGTTTCTGCTTTCTGCACATTGCTAGCCAGTTTTCCCAACACCATTTATTAAACATGGAGTCCTTTCCCCATTGCTTGTTTTTGTCAGGTTTGTCAAAGATCAGATGGTTGTAGATGTGGGGTGTGGCTTCTGGGGCCTCTGTTCTGTTCCATTGGTCTGTGTCCCTGTTTGGGTACCAGTACCATGCTCTTTTGATTACTGTAGCTTTGTACTATACTTTGAAGTCAGGCAGTGTGATGCCTCAGGATTTATGCTTTTTGCTTAGGATTGTCTTGGCTATGCAGGCTTTTTTCATTCCATATGAAGTTTAAAGTGGTTTTTTCCAGTACTGTGAAGAAAGTCATTGGTAGCTTGATGGAGATAGTGCTGAATCTATAAATTACTTTGGGCAGTATGGCCATTGTCACAATGTTGATTCTTCCCAACCATAAGCATGGAATGTTTTTCCATCTGTTTGTGTCGTCTCTTATTTCCTTGAGCAGTGGTTTGTAGTTCTCCTTGAAGAGGTCCTTTAAACATCCTGTTAGTTGTATTCCTAGGTACTTTATTCTCTTTGTAGCAATTGTGAATGGGTGTTCGCTCTTGATAGTATAAACTATTGGTTTATAGGAATGCTTGCAATTTCTGCACATTGATTTTGTATCCTGAGACTTTGCTGAAGTTGCTATCAGTTTGAAAATATTTTGGGCTGAGACGATGGGGTCTTCTAGATACACAATCATGTCGTCTCCGAATAGAGACAGTTTGACTTCCTCCTTTCCTATTTGAATACCCTTTCTTTTTCTTGCCTGACTGCTCTGGTTAGAACTTCCAATACTATATTGAATAGGAGTGGTGAGAGAGGGCATCCTTGTCTAGTGCCTGATTTCAAAGGGAATTCTTCCAGCTTTTGCCCATTCATTATGATATTGGCTGTAGGTTTGTCATAAATGGCTTTTATCATTTTATGATACGTTCCATCAATACCTAGTTTATTGAGAGTTTTAACATGAAGGGCTGTTGAATTTTGTCGAAGGCCTTCTCGGCATCTATTGAGATAATCATGTGGTTTTTGTCTTTGGTTCTGTTTATGTGATGGATTACGTTTATGGATTTGCATAGGTTGAACCAGCCTTGCATCCCTGGAATCAAGGCTACTTGATCATGGTGGATAAGCTGCTTGATGTGCTGTTGCAATCAGTTTGCCAGTATTTATTGAAGATTTCTGGGTCGATGTTCATCATGGATATTGGCCCGAAGTTTTCTTTTTTAGTTGAATCTCTGCCTGGTTTTGGTATCAGGATGATGTTGGTCTCATAAAATGAGTTAGGGAGGATTCCCTCCTTTTGTATTGTTTGATATAGTTTTAGAAGGAATAGAACCAGCTCCTCTTTGTATGTCTGGTAAAATTCGGCTGTGAACCCATCTGGGCCTGGCAGCTTTCTTAAAGAAGCTTAAGCCATTTCAGAGTTGAATGAATATCCATGTGGGATGAGGATAATGGCAACTGAGGCAGTAACAAGTTACTGTTAGGCCAATTGTGGACTAAGGTGTTATTGAATTTTTCAGTTTTGGAATGATAGCTATTTTTATGATATGAATTAATTAAAAACTTACCTTATTTGGAAGAATTTGGCCTGTTTTCCATTTTTTTTTAAAGGACTTGGAATTTGTTACTGAAAGATGAAAAAAGATTCTCATTACAATTTGTTAATGAAGCAAAATCAAGAATCACCCCTCTCTCCCCCAGAGGTCCAAGTAACATGGTCTTGCACGTTAGACATGCTATGGCCTTCTCATCTAATCTCTTTTAATGTAATTTGCAGGAAAGTGCAGATCACCTTGCATGTGAAGTGAGCTTGGCAGTATTTCAGCTGGCTGGAGGAATTGGAGAAAGACCCCAACCAGGTTTCTGAAGATGATTTTCATAATCCTGATAAACTGGACTTTTTTAAAGTCTTTACAAAGCAGTCAATAATAATGGCAATACTAAGAGATTTATCATACTGTTTACAATGCACCCCTACTATATTGTCTCTAGGTCTGATTGTTAAAACACTACCAGAATAATTCTTTATAAATAGGTAAGCCTTATACTTATTAAAGAAATATACCTCTCATTTGATTCTCACCAATGTAAAATATTGGGTTTAAGTATACAATTCAATCACTAACCATACAGTTTTATGTGGGAACAACTCATGCAGGCTACTGGAAAATTAAATCTTGTTATCAAGTCTTTGTGCATCTTTGCCATTGCCATCATATGAGCAAGATGATGTTTTACAGCATTCCCCATTGTGATACAAATGGAGAGGGTGGAGAACACTTATAACCAGTTATGTTTTTCCATTGCAGAGTCTTAAAGATTATTAGATGACTTACCTATATGACTAATGCCATCAGGAACTCAGAGGTGTGAATAGGGAGGAGGTTGTCCATTCTCCCTACATACTGAGGTGGAGGTGCTCGTGCAATACTTAGAAGGATGCATGGTCCAGCCTTCAGTTATTCTTCACTGCTCTTGGTGAAGGTATGTGGGAGAAAAACTAATTGTAATACATTTCCCAGCCTCTGATGGAGGAGGGACACCACTCTGATATCAGAACACTGTTAATAATGGAAAGAAAGAGAAAAATCCCCCACCAATCTTACATTAAACCAAGCCTGAAACCATTGGAAAAAAATGTATAGTGTATATTTTGCAGGTTTAAGACAACTCAGGACAATAAAAACAATGGACTTTACATGTGTATATATAGCTCTCTTAGGCACCATAATCAATATGAGCCAACAATATTTAAACTTGATTCAGGCCACGCTCGGACATTTGCTCTTATTTACAAATATTTAAATTAAATACAACCTGAAATGTGTTTTGTTACATACAAAAAAAAAAAAAAAAAAAGAAAAACTATACAACTCAGAGCAGTGTGTTTGTTTTAAATAATTACATTTACATGTAAGCTAAATGGAATCACCAATGGTGCTCAAGTTTTTATCATCCCTTCCAGAAAATCTTTTTCTACCATCTCTTCTATTTTTTGCCTGGCTTTGCTGGAACATGGTTTGTGGTTCTCCAGTTTCATGTCCTTATTAGGGAAGGCATTTGAGTAGAGGATGGGACTTCCTGAGTGTCCTCCACATCGGCTTGTGACTTTGCTGTTGAAGACTTGACTGAGCACATTGAAGAATGGCAGAAGCTGCTCCATGCTGCGCACGGTGCAGATGGTGAGCAGCAAGTGCCCTGGCTCCCAACCCAACGTCCTTCCTGAGTTGTCTTCTTCTGGATTTTTCTGCAGAAAACAAAAAGTGAATTGGTATTAACAATGTGTTGTGTGAGAATAAAAGATATAAGCATTGGCAGTTGGTCAAGGAATGAATACAAATGACATTAAGTTTCTACTCCTGACCTTATCAAAACCCTTGGTGCTTCTGAGACCTTTTAGTGCCATCCATTAGTTTTATATGGAGCAGTCTAACACTGTAGTAATAGTTCCCAACTAGAATGGACAGATAAGCTTAGTTAACAGAAATAGCTTTGAACAGGACTAGAGTCAAACAAAAAAGTTGTATGTCGTGCTTTGTATTTACTTAAAAAGCTCCCAGGTTTCTGAACTCTCACTGATTTTTGTAACCACGGACTAGGTCACAAAAAGACTACAGAAAAAAGGAATGAAGAGCTTTATACATCCCCTTTTATTATAATTAGTTAATTCCCATTTATCCAAATGGCCTAAATTTGCTTTGATGGTAGCAGTGTCCAGAGTGAATAATTACTGTCAGTACTGCATCACAGAGAAAGGAAGGGATCCCTCAGGAGAGACACTGCTTTTGCCTTCTGGGTTGTGCTCAACAACACAGGGAGGAAAGCTGGACCTGGAGTCAAAGTGATTGGGTTAGTGTACTGACTCTGCCATACTTGTGACATCCCTGATACACAAAGGTTCCTCACTTATAAAATGGGACAGTCTATGAGAAGGTATATGAAAACTCTGTCAACTAAATATAAACAAATAATTTGTGTATTAAGAGGCTAGTTTAAGAAGCCACCTGAATTACACAAACAGCCACAAACATCATTCTGTCTAGAGAAGACACAACTGAGGTTGGTTGAACTTGGGCAGAATCACAGATACAACACCACACTAAGGATAATGAAAATAAGCAGTGAACTAGACAGAAGGAAGAAATCATGAAGACTTAGGAAGCAGAATTATTATCTGTCTTATTAACAAATGGAGTTTGCTTTCTAAGATCAGATGTTGCTGAGAAACTCACTGTTTACCTAATAATTAATCATCACTAGTTTCCTAGTGGGTAAAGCAGATGCAAAATCCAGCTTATTTTCTTCTATGTGCTCTCAAGCTTGTTGGTTAAAGTAAAATCCTGAAAAAGGAAAATACTAGGTTGGTGCCAACGTAAAACTGTGGTTTTTGCATTGTTGAAATTTGCCGTTTTATGTTGGAGTATGTTCTTAAGTAAATTTGGTTATGTTATACATCATTTTAAGTGCATTTCTCACTTTATGCTAATGACTTACTGATGTTTATATTCAGACTATAGAAATGATGTTAGACAAAAATCAAATTTGAGTCATTTTCATAGAGTTCAAAATTGGTCATAGTGCAGCAGAGACAACATGCAACATCAACAATGCATTTGGCCTAGGAACTGCTAACAGACATACAGTTCTGATACAATGTAGTGATAGTTCAAGAAGTTTTGCAAAGGAGACTAGAGCCTTGAAGATGACGAGCACAGTGGCCATCCATCAGCAATTGACAATGATCAATTGAGAGCAATCAAAGCTGATCATCTTACAAGAGTTGTGCAAGAACTCAACACTGATCATTTTATGGTCGTTCAGCATTTGAAGCAAATTGGAAAGGCGAAAAAGCTCAGTAAGTGGGTGCCTCCTGAGCTGAGTGAAAAATAAAAAATCCGTTTTGAAGTGTCATCCTCTCTATTCTGTGCAACAATAAATTATTTCGTGACTGGACGTGACCTGCGACAAAAGGTGGATTTTATACAACTGACAATGACCAGCTCAGCGGTTGGACTGAGAAGCTCTAAAGCACTGCCCAAAGCTCAACTTGCACCAAAAAATGGTCATGGTCATTGTTTAGTGGTCTGCTGTCCACTACAGCTTTCTGAATCCAAGTCAAACCATTACATCTGATGAGTATGCTCAGCAAATCAGTAAGATGCAACAAAAACTGCAATGCCTGCAGCCAGCATTGGCCAACAGAAATTCTTTTCCATGACAGTGCTGGAGCACATATCACACAACCAATACTTCAAAAGTTGAACTAATTGGGCTACAAAGTTTTGCCTTATCTGTTATATTCATCTGACCTTTTGCCAACCAACTACCACTTCTTCAGGCACCTCAACAGCTTTCTGCAGGGAAAATGCTTCCCTAACTAGGAGGATGCAGTAAATGCATTCTAAGAATTCGTCAAATTTGGAAGCATGGACTTTTATGCTATAGAAACAAACTTCTCGTTGGCAAAAATGTGTTGATTGTAATGGTTCCTATTTTGATTAATAAAGATTTGTTTGAACCTAGTTATAATGATTTAAAATTCAAGGTCCCAAACCGCAGTTACTTTTGGACCAAACTAAAGATTTACGTTAAAATGGAAGAATCCAGGAGTGAACCAAGAAAAGATCACCTACTTTATCTGTTTCTGGTCAAAAACCATAAAACTCAATAGCTATCACTTGTTTGCTTCTTAGTAATTATTTAACTTCCAGTCTAGATTATAGGATATATGAAACTGTCTTTCTTTCTTAACTGACACTGGCACCCATGAGAGTCCTGTGCCTTTCACATTTCAACTATTACTCAAGTACTGGTACCATACTGCCTGTAATCCCCTAAATCAAACTGCAATTCAAATATAGTGTACAGAGATGACTTTATCCTGAAGGAAAATGAATAATATCCTTACACCCTCTATATAGAGAACTATCGGGAAAACTTTTGTTTATATTCTTACCAAGATGAGCCTTTAACAAGACTTTTATTAAGCTCTTGACAAGAATAATACACTTGATTTCAGAGCTTCTGATGCTCTTAATCAGAACTATATCTATCATTTCAGTATTTAAAGTCAAATATTTCCATACAAATGATTTCTCCTTGGACTTCACCAATCTACACTTGAAAAAAGACTTCCTTCCTGTTTACCTCTTGTATTTGTTGACATTCAGACCTGGGTTTATGTCTCGATATTTGGCAACTTTTACTGCCATATCACAAGCATGAAACAGCCACCCTCACCTGATTCTTGGCCATCTCCAATCCCTCCAAAACCACTGTCTTAAAGTCCTCCTCCTTGTCCTGTGGAAGGAAAGAGGAGAAACAGCCTTTGTTCCAGTGAAAAGTATGCTTGGCCATGAAGACCTTGTTTAAAGTGATTTGGATGAGAAGATGCCTTTCAATCCAAATAGTTTTCTTATTCTGTGGGACAAATTTTGAGCAAAAGACTGTCATTTTTATTATTTAGATAAAGGAGAGGGGTCTTATAAAAATTCTCATTACTAATGAAAGGCAGGTATAACAAAGGACATGTGGCTAGGGTCATATTTGCTTCTAGATCTGTCATGATTACTTGCCCAAACTCTGAGATATCAAAGTGAAAGTACCAAAGTCCTATCCTAAACTCAGGACCCAGCTTTCATCCTCATCTCTGTCCTTTTATTAATCCCCTACAGAAGCAACTGGGAATTTAAATCAAGTTTCTCATGTAAATTTCTTCCAGCAAAACCTCTTTAATCACTTTCTTCCATTCCGTATCTATAGTTTATGGAATTCAGTTTTAAGAGCTGCTGCCTGATTAGAAGGACTCCAGAATACTGGAAAATATCTGAACACTCAAAGCACACACTGCAAGCTAGAGCTCACCAAACAACCAAGATCACTCCTAAATTGTACAATTTGTTTTTGAAATTTGTTGAATGCAAAAGAAAATTTGACAAAAGGTTTAGTAACAAAGGCCCAATAGCGAGCATACCAGTGTCACTGCTGGTAGGTTCTTGGGCAAAGATTTGAAATAAATTAGCATGATTAGGGAAGATAAAAAGTATGTAAGACACAATATAAATATATTTTACAAGTTTTATTTTCCTACAATTTTTAGTGCTATATGTTTTAAGTAAATTCCTACTTTTCACCTTATATAATTTCTCTAAGAAGATGCTTTATATTAATGAGTCGTAGAGCCAGTTTAATTTCTAGCAATGTTTTAAAAACTGCAGGTTGGGTGTGTCTTCAGATCTGTAATCAGCATCATCACTGTGAACTACAAAAAGGAAAATACCTCATATATTAAGGGCAAGAATGGTTTTGTGAAACTTTAGATTCAGTTATATAACTGTATTGGATCAGGATAAGAAATGCATTTCTTAATGTCAGAAAGTGAAGAACACTTGGAAAATGAATTTTTAGCATATACATTTTATTTCATACAAACAGAATGAATGCTAATGATTATTTCCTTTGTTCGGACTGACGTCTAGCTCATTCAATTTTAATGAAATGTGACTCAATTTTTACAAATTTAAAATGTATAATTTTCTCACCCATTGATTAGTTCTGTTGAAACAACTCTGACAGGTTCTAAAAATCCCTTCTGTATTGCATTTTTCTCAAGCTGTATTTTCCTGTTTCTCATCATGGTGTTAAGATGAACACTACGAATATAGTATATTCTCAAGTTTTTGACATGAACACTGTTCAGGATTACAGTCTTAAGTACTCATGTGTATAGTTCCAAAGTTATTTTCTGAGAGGAAAATATTTTAAGGTAGATATTATTAATGTAGAAAAGACTTCCTTTTTCTTCTTTTTAAAAAAATGATAACCACATATTCCTTTAAAATACATGTTTTCTAATGTCCAGAAATATGAGTCTTATGGACATTAATTCACAAAACGGGGGACTTGTTTTCAAAATAGCTGAACTTGATAATGTTCTCAGTTTCCCATGAAGTATTTAATAAATACTTCACTAATGCAACATGTAGTAATGTAAAACAAAACAACCATAAAAAAATGCAATACCTTTGCCCTTTTCCGAAGAAGTTTTGCTAGTCGTACCACGTAAGGTTTAAATTCTCGTTGATGCATACCCTGCCTTCTGACTTCCAAACCTGAATCATCTGAGGCTTCTGGAATAAAGGCCCATCGGTACCTATGTATAGAATAATGACATCAGCATCAGTAAGACAGACTTTATGCCATCTAACATAAGGCCACATAATGTAGTAGAAAGATCACGACCCCACTGCTTATAAAAATCCAAATGCCAGTTGTGCCACTTGTAGCCTTGTCACTTTGGGTGTCTCTTAACAACTCTCTGAGCTTTAATCAGTAAATAAAGATACTATTAACTACCTCATAGGGTTGTAAGGAATAAAGGATATGAAAACTTGTCAAGTACTCTCATCATTACTTTTTTCATGAGCACAAATCAAGTACTCAACAAATGTTTCTTTTCTCATTAGCTAATAGGCAAAAAGTCCTTAAAAGGAAATTTTTTTCATATAGCTTATTATCTCTTTGTACTGTAACGTAACAGTCTGACAGACTTGACTTTTCAACATATAATTGGCCAAATGTTCCCTAACTGCACAGTAAAGGAGTGAAAAAACTGAATGAATTTAAGAAAACTGTAAGTAGGACTTTTTTACATTTGTATTTTTGTTTTTGTCTTTAATAACTAAATAATATCTGACCATGGGAAAAATTCAAACAGTATAAAAGGGCATACCAAAGAAAGGTAGTCTCCCTCCCCACACAGGATCCATCAATGTTGTCAGCTTCCTAAGTCCTTCCAGAGAGTTTATGCCCAGAAGAGTACATACTCACACAACCAACCCTCTCCTTTAAAAAAAAAAAAAAAGATTGCTGCCTGTTTTTATTTAATCATACATGTAGGATATTTTTGATGTAATTTATTTGATGTTAATTATCTTGGAGATAATTCTGCATCATATAAAACTTCATTCTTTTTAACAGCAACATAGTAGTACACACCACAGCCAATCTCCTAGATTGTCCAGTCTCTTGCACTTAGAAAAGTGCCACAGTGGATACCCTTATATAATGCTTATTTTTATGCATATCTGAGAGTATAGAGGCAGGATAAATCCTTCGATGTAGCAGAATTACAGGCTTAAAGAAAATATCTTTTAAATTTTGGTAAATATATATAATCTCTGAACAATGTTGGACAATATCAGTGTATACTTCCAACAAGAGTAGGAATGCTTCTATTACTAAATGTAAAATGAAAGCCATTATCAGATCTTTACTATTCTGATGGTTATCTGTAATTTTAATTGAAACTCAGGAGAGCAACTGAGCAGCTTTTCCTATGTTTAGAAACCATCCTATGAATTATTAACTGTGTTGCTCATTGGCCCATTTTTCTACCAGGTTATTTTTATAAAGCATTTTAGACTTGTGTCATATACATTAAAAATATCTTTTGCCAATTCATTGCTATCTTTCAAACTTTATAATACCGTTTAGTTACATGGCTACTTTTAAACTTACATATAGTAAACTTATCAAATATTTTGAACTTTCCAAATATGGATCATGCTAAGATACTACTCTTTCAAGATAATTAAAATCTTCACATTTTCTACTTTATAGGTTTTTATTTTTAGAAAGACAAAAGTTTTTTGTTTTTTTGTTTTTTTTGAGATGGAGTTTCACTCATGTTACCCAGGCTGGAGTGCAATGGCGCGATGATCTCGGCTCACCATAACCTCCACCTCCTGGGTTCAGGCAATTCTCCTGCCTCAGCCTCCTGAGTAGCTGGGATTACAGGCATGCGCCACCATGCCCAGCTAATTTTTTGTATTTTTAGTAGAGACGGGGTTTCACCATGTTGACCAGGATGGTCTCGATCTCTTGACCTCGTGATCCACCTGCCTCGGCCTCCCAAAGTGCTGGGATTACAGGCTTGAGCCACTGCGCCCGGCCAAGACAAAAGTTTTTAATAAACTAGTTAATAGAATGGTATGTTTCCTTCCCTTTTGTAGTAACATCTTGATAAGAGGATAAACTCATTTTGGTTCTTGTCATGAAAGGTAAAAAGTCGGTATCATGAGCATACTATTTAATGTCCCTCAAAAAGCACCACAGAATAGTTTCTATCACTTTTGTGAAGTATCTTGGTTAATATTGGTCATTTTCCTACAATTCTGTTTAGTATTCTTTTCTGGACTTCCTTAGGAGTAACATCTGTGTAACAGATACCAACCAATGAAATTCATCAAAACATAGATATATATGGTTTTCAAGTAGAAGAGAGAAAGGAAATAGACTAACTCTTAAAAGTAATTTCTAGTTCTTACCATTAAGTGTAATGAAAAGCTTGTGAAACAACAAATTTTGAAACATGTCCAAATAAAAAAGAGAAAAAGCTCTAGTATACTTTTCATCCTATTATTTCCATTCCAGAAGAAAAATATGACACAATATAATAAATCATATTAATACATATTTGATCTTGTGGATAAATTCTCATATTACCTTAGCTACATTTTGATAAGACAATCTTATATAGCTTGCCCATTATCTTTAAAATTTATATATGAAAAACCATAATAAAATATTTTTGCCACTTATGAACCAAGGCATTGTGAGAATTTTATTAACTTTTCCTCTATTCCTTTCAGTTCAATTCATTATCATCTAAGATAAA